TTATTATTATTATTAAATTTCTTGTTGCAAAAAGTAACTCAATCCTCGTTTACCTGTTGATGTTCTGCTGCCCCCAGAAGTTGTTCTGATTTCCATCCATATTGTGACCAATATTGTTCCCTTACAACTCCAGCTTGATTAGATATTTACTGAGAGCTTCGGCACAGTTCGGCTTGAATAAATCCATCACAGGATCATTTTAGGCAGCTGTGAGCTGCTGGACAGACAAAAGAAACCCTGTTAGAGCTGGTGAGGCAGAGCATGAAGAAAACACATCTTTGACATTAATGAGGTGTATCAGAAACCTAATTCTAAAGCCAACAAAAAAAAACTATCTTGAGAAAAAAAAGTCAGGCTCGCAATAATAAAAATTCATATACATGAAAACCTTTATGCAAAGAAAAAAGTTAATCTTGTGCCTTTTAGTGCAACAAAATGACAAATATGTAACTAATCCCCCAAAAACAATTTATAAAATGAACTGATGACAGACTTTCACATTTATATTCCTCCCAGCCCAGTATATGACTTCAGTCTGCTCTGACAGCTGGACAGTCGGATCACTTTGTAGTTCCAGCTTATTGCACAACCTCTGGGTCAAATGTGGGGGAGAAAGAAAGGGGGAGATGAAGGGGGGGAGGGGGGGCACTCCTAATGTCGCTTCCTCTCTTTGACCATGAAACGCAGCAGTATCCGCCTTCACAACAGGAGCTGATTGTGCAGCATTCACGTGATGCTGAAACACTACGTCTGAAGTAGAACCACAGCAGAGCGGTTAAACACTTGGTTTGATCTGTTTTATTTATTAGATCTGTCAGAAAATGCTGCACCAATCAGCAGCTGAAAAAGACCTTAAAGTAAAAACGTTTGAGTAAAATCAGAACATCTCTAGATTGTGTCGGTTGTCTAGTTCTGAAAACATTTAGAGTCCGCCTTGATCAATAAAGTTAAAGATGTCACGTTTAAACTCAAACAGTAATTCTAACAGAACACATCTTAACGTCACGTAAAGACCAGCTCGCTTCTCAAACCTCCTGCTTTGTTCCACACCAGTCATCAGATGTCTGATGGATTAAGTGGGAAGCAAACAATGCAGAGCACGCAAAGACAACCTCCTCTCCTACAGACAAAACAGGGTCTGATGAGTGTTTCTGAATATTAATGTCCCCCTTAAACCAACGGTCTGTGGCGTCATTTCCACCCGTGAGCCTCGGCGATGGAAGCTGCTGAGCATTTCAGAATTCTCCGGGCAATTACTCAGGGTTCATGAATGGGACCACTCTCAGCCATGAATGGGCCTTTGTGCCACTTTGATGCGGAGCTGAGCGAGCCTGAAAATACAAGCGAACTCTCCCATGAGGTTAGGACTCGAGATCTGCCATGGAGACGAGCTGACACGACCGAAGCATGAGCCTGCGCCGCACAACGCTCGCAGGGAGACCGCGAGCGCTGGCCCCAAGTGCAGGTTGGGGGAAAAACAGTTTGTTCAAGCTCGTGCAGGAGCCCTGATGTGTCGTCCTTGGCAGCGCCGGCTGTCCTTTGTTCCAGGCTATTGGCTGAGCAAAACCATTACAAATGAGCTAATTACTGTGTGCTTACATGGTGAATGTGCTTTACATTAGAATAAAATAAGTTACCTCAATTCACAGAATGAACTCATTTAGATACAAGCATGAAGTGTTTGTAGGCCACAACTCCTAAAATATTTTAGAAAACAGCTGACAGGACATAATATAAAGACTTAATAATGAAAATAATCAAAACAGATGACTTTTGTGAGGATGCGTGTTTTGTTGTTTTTGTGTTTTCCCTGTGTTTCCACCCTTCAGTATCCTCAGTCAATTTACTAGTCTATTCTCAATCAACCTCTCCTGTTCATTCATCTCCAATCAGTCCTGCCACCAGGTTCATCATTTCCTCATTACCTCTGTTAGTTTAAATACTAGTCAATTACACTACACACCCTCGCTGGATCATTATGTGGCTTGTCCTCTGTCAAGTTGTCTTCGTGCTCCCTGTGACTCCTTTGTGTTTTTGGATTTACTTTTGCTGCCTTGTCAGCTGTTTATTTTGTTAATAAACCTCTTTACAAAAGCTTCATCCTCCGTCCGGAACTGGGCTCACTTCCTAGTTAAACCTAACAACTTTAACTTTATTGTTAAAGAAGAAAAATTGTCATTTAAAAAAAACTAATCAGGTTTTTGGGACGTTCAATCTGTACTCAACATAAAGTATTTTATCAGAACAGTTGAAAATTTGTCTCAGGCAGTTTAGTCGAAACTCCTACACTGATAATGGACATACAGCATACAGCAGTAAAATAAGAGGAAAGTGGGTTAATTTGTCACTTCAAATATTTGTCAGTTCACAACTAATTACATAACAAACTTTATAGGCCAACCAAACAATGTCACTATACAATAAAACTGACAAAAACGTCAGAACACAGCTTTTATGGCTAAACAGCTACATCAGATTAGTGTTTTAGATTTTCTTGGTCTGAGAAAACAGTCATACTTTTAGTACATTTATTTAGCAGAAGAATGTCTTTTGTTTGTAAGACACAAACTTGGCCTATAACTCAATTAGACACATTTATGAGTGTAGTTAGTTTACAGTGTTTGCAGATTATTTAGGTTTGTTTTAATTAGACTATATATATA